CGTTTGCTTTGCTGGTGGCTTCCTACCGCCATATTTCCTCAAAAATGCGGCCTGACACTGTTTAAAGGAACCTGTCACCCAGTAATTACGAACGATGAATACACACTCCTCTGTTTTGTACACCACTATCCTTCACTACCGCACAACACAATGACAGGGATCTATTGCCACGCCAGAGGCAGTGTAGACACGGCACCAGACGCCAGACGCCAGTCGTTGTCCCGACGACGCCAGGATTTTTCCTGGCGTCGTCGCCAGGAAATTATGTTTTGTACTGTAATTCTTGCGGTAAGTCACCGGACACAATCATAAATGATGAAGATTTCTGAGCAAATGTTGAAAATACGCACTATAGGCTACCTGATGTACAGGAATTAAATAATATTTCGGTTTGGTGTGATAATCCTTGAAGCAAGGCACCACACGCAATTCAAAGTCACACTGCATGCAACAGAATCTCGTCTCTTTCCTGATCTTCTTTCCGTGGCCATCTTTTTTCGAACAACGCAATCAATATAGACTCCATTGTGCTGTCTCTCCATTGATTTAATATATATGTTATGCGTGATTCGTGCAACTGCTCATTGCGCAACGTTTTTGCCTATTTCGTGAAAAAGGCAATCATTGTGCTCATTGCATGCAATGCGCAACTTTTTTACAAAATGCGTGCAATAGGCAAGAAAGCGTTGCCGAATGCACGCCTTGAGCAATCGCTAAATTTATTTAATCTGCTGTCAATTACATTGAAAACATGTGACAATTTTGTCGAAATTATGGGTCCATGTCAAAAGGAATTAGTGGCTTTTTAACAATGCCTTCAACCAAGCAATATTCAGTCGTGATTCAGACAAGTGTGGCCAGAGTGACATGAGCTCTCACATCTAATCCCTCCTTTCTTACATGAGCATCTTGAAGTTTGGCACTTGTTCTTACATTGGCATCTTCTGAAGCCCTCACCTATTGAGGTGGCAGCAACGATTTCGCGCATTAGTTTCTCTTCGGTGTTGATGTCTTGCATTTTTATGATCTTCGCTTTTACCGATTCCACCGTGTTTCTTTCCATTCAGATGTTGATTGTCCCGCCTCTTGTTCCAATCTTGTACTTCCCGTCCTTCCATTCCAAAACCAATCCAATTATGTTTTTTGGGTATCAGTTCGGCCCGATCAAATTCAAAGACACGGACAGTTACATGGTCTCCAACTTGCAATTCTGGAAGGCGTCGCTTGGAGAGACTGAGCATCTGGTGTGCTTGTCGCGCCAGGACACGCTCATCGGACAATTCTGAATCATGGCCATCACATTCAGTGCTTCCCTGATTTTGGTTCGGTGAGGCAGCAAGAGTATTTGGGAAAATACGGTCACTGGGGTCTGCAGTCACATCCACAAAGAGGGTCTCATCTCCTACAAAGGCCCCTTCCACATCTTCAGATTCCTCCAAAGCTGGAGGTGAACCCTGTTCGACCATTTCGGCCAGGACTTCCTTCCTGATGCCTGACAGGAGTGAATCGAGTATTGCGCTTGGAATGTTGGAGGACTGCAAGCCGATTTTGGGCTCCCGACCGAACATGACTCGATATGGCACTCATGTGGTCCCACAGTGCTGTTCCGTATTCTTTTGCCACTGAATAATGCTCAGGCCAACCGACCATATATTGGTATTGTTGTCCTTCATCCTGGCTTTGAGCCTGTCTTTGATGACTCCGTTGGTCCTCTCCACTGATCCCTGACTTTGAGGATGCCTGGGTCTGGATGCCTGGTTTCCTTTATAAAGGATTCATCCCCTGCTAAGGTTAACCCCTTTCATCCTCAATACCAGCGTTCATTGCCACCGGCACTGTCTTACCTTGCTTCTTCTTTTCCTTTTGTGTATCCCTGATTCTCTTCGCTTCCTTCATTCGATCGGAGATCGAACAGTTGCACGTAACTGTGCTAATCGTTTTCGTGCTGTTGGTGTCCATATTTGCGGTTATTTATGTTAGCAAATAGAGTTATCATTAATTTGGTCACAGTATTCCTAATGGGATATCGTTTTCCTAATATGAAAAGCCTGAGATAGGATCATCACTGGTCCTTCGTAAGGGAAGCTCGGGTCAAGCAGGCGGGTGTTCGGCTGGTGTTCCCGGTTCTCAGCGTCCACGCGACACCTGAGCCACAATAAAGAAAACCTTAAGCCTTACAGGAGAAAGGAACGGGTACATCTTGCTGATTCGAAAAACTTCATCCTTGGAACTCCACTTGCTTATTGCATGAAAAAGCAAGAGGAATCCGCGCAATAGGCAAAGTTTTTGCTCTTTTCATGAAATAAGCAAGCTTGCTATTTTTTCCGCGCATTTTGCGCGATCGGCAAAAACTTGCGCAATGCGTGCAATGAGCAGTTGCACGAATCACGCATAACATATAGTGTATTTCATAGTCTGAAGAGATCTCGCCTGTATTCATTTATATGAAAAAATCGGACTTACTGCCGAGATGAGCACAAAAGAATTACAACCCGAGACTATCTAGGGGTAAACACTTATGGCAAGTCCGTACACCCCGAGGCTATCTCGGGGTAAACGCTAAGGAGATTAAAACAGCTATAGTGACGATAGAAAAAATACTAGTGGAACATTGATTCATAATAGACCTACTTGAATGAGTATTTGGTACCGTGGATTTTAGCTCTTAATACTGTACATAAATGTCAGAATTCGCATCGATACCGACACCTACTGATGTTTACCCATGTAGCACACTCACGTTGAATCAACGTTGATTCAGCGTCATTTCTTTAACGCAGCTAACGTTGAAACTACGTTGCCAGGCAACATTGATTCTATATTGAAAGTTCATTTTTTTATCAACAATTGATTCGATGTTCAAAAACAACATTGCAACGTTGCTTCAACATTTGCTTATCAACGTTGACTCCATATTGAAAATTCATTTTCTTCAACATTGAAGAAATATTGAATCCACGATGGTTCAACGTTGATGTGACAGGTCTCAACAATCTGTTTAATTCGTGCGCATGCGCCGTTTCGTGACCGAAGCATTATTTGAATATCATCTGGACACGATCTCCATCTTCCGAATCCGCTTTCTTTATGATCCCCCTATCCAAGGACAACGCAAACCTAATGCCGAGATGAGAAAGAGGCATCCTGTTCCCCCGGAAGCAGGACACCAACGCGGTTTAATAATGGGTTACCCACACTCCACGCACCCTTCGGCAGAGGTCATGATTTGGATTCATCCTCGAAAACAGGGCGGCGTGGTCTCATGGAGTAATATGACCTCGCATATTATCTTGTGTCCATCACCCTGCTCAGAATTATCCAGGGTCTTGTTTGGTTGGGTTGCCACATTGGTCGAATATATTCAGGAATCCAAATTCGGCCAGGCGTCGCTTATGGAGAAAATATCATGTACTGTTCCAAAAGCACTAGAGACGCGTACTGATGGTAACTAGCCATGTTGGGCAAGTAATCGCCGCCTATTTCGGGAAATAGGTCTGGCACAGTAAGGTTTTGAAATCGTTGCTCATAGTTATGGGCGTCGAAAATGCCATTCTGCTTGATTGGTGCGACGAAATTCGAGGGCGGGAGGATTCCATCTTTTCTCACCGCGATCGGAGCTCGGACCTCTATCCGGCTTCTATTATCTCACACTTGTTGTCGGGAGTGCAGGGGGAATGTATGACCTTCGCAAAGAGTAATGAAACCTACCATTCCTCCAACTATCGAAGATAACATCCATTCATCGATGGATGCATCAGGACAACCCTAATTTTTCCTATTGCCGTTGAGAATCAGCTGCCAAGCCTCGTTCACGTAATTATTTTTCTCTTTTTCTTCGTTCTACAATGTCTTTGGACATTGGCACCGCCAGATAGGAAACCTGCTGATGGTTCCATACCGGCGGTTGCCGAAACGTCGGTACAGCCCTAGTATAAGCAACGTCTAACGTAATTATTTTTCTCTTTTTCTTCATTCTACAATGTCTTTGGACATTGGCACCGCCACATAGGAAACCTGCTGATGGTTCCATACCGGCGGTTGCCGAAACGTCGGTACAGCCCTAGTATAAGCAACGTTTATGTACAATATTCACTCTGAGTTCACCGTAAGTAGAGATAAATGCCCTAGAGCAAGTTAAAAATTAAGACCATTAAGCCTGCATACTAAAGTGATAGGAATATAGAGAGCGGATTAGCCAATGTACGTTTCGAAATCAAGGGATTATAAGAACAGTTCACTTTCGTAGTATACACCTGATTAGATCGAGCTGAAAACAGAAACATAAAAGATGAAAAAATTTTCTCGGTCATCTCCTCTCCTTTCTCACTTCCTGTCTCCGATCCGACTTTTTTTTCCCTTCCCAACTTTCTTATAGTCAGTTCCAGCATTTCCGGAATTTGCTCGTACTTTGCCAATGCATTCCGGGGATTTCTTGCTTGGCCTTTTTTTTGTCCCATTCCAAATTGCTTCCAGAAAGGAATTTCAAAGTTAAAAATTAAGAACATTACGCCTGCATACTAAAGTGATAGGAATATAGAGAGCGGATTAGCCAATGTAGGCTTCGAAATCAAGGGAGTATAAGAACAGTTCACTTTCGTAGCATGCACCTGATAAGATCGAGCCGAAAACAGAAACCGAAGAGAAAAAAAAATTTTCTCGGTCTTCCCCCCTCTCCTTTCTCACTTCCTGTCTCCGATCCGACTTTTTTTTCCCTTCCCAACTTTCTTATAGTCAGTCCCAGCATTTCCGGAATTTGATTGTGATAATAAATCGCAAGCCCATGCGGGTCACGCCGCTTCTTCCTTTCCCCGCCCGGACGGACTGTATTGTACTCTACTCGCCTCAATCCCAATGAGACATTTCCCCTTTAAAATATTTTGCTGATGCATCGCGATGGTCGAAAAAACTATCGATTTCTCCAACTATCAATAGTGGTATCGATGCATCGACCTATCGTGACAGCCCTAGAAAAAACTTACTGACTTTTGACTGTCTGGTATAGGCATTTGGGATCCCAGCTGGCTGAATTGAAAAAGGTGATAGGGAAAATGTTGGAGGCTGACTTTCGGCGCTATGTCACTTTGGATTTATACCGTCCAATATCTGAGAAAGAGTTGGATCCTGTTGATGAGGTATGTACAAAGGTGACTGTTTCCATTCCTTTTCACATTCTCTTTGATTAATCATTGAGATTTTAATCCTACAGAATTGGTTGCAGTCCATAGTATTTGGATTGTTCAGACAGAAGTCAGCCTTCTTGGATGTGATACGTGATGAAGCCTGCACAGCTCTGGAGGCTGCATCAAAGGAAGTTCTTGCAGAGGCACTTGCGATTCTACCTCATGAACAGGTGCATGGATCTTACCCCAAAGAATGATGGTATTAATGGAATATTCTCATTGAAAGTTTTGCTTTATGCTTAGGAGTTATCACAGGATGAAGCTCGACAGCAGAGACAAGCACCATCCATTCGCAACCTCAGTGCTCAAGCCTTGACAGATCTTCTCAGTGAAACCTGTCAACAGCTTTTTCTACTGCTCAAGCGAGTCAAGGTTGTTTTGTAGATGTGGAGACCATGCCAAAATTACTATTTCCTTTATTCCTTATTGTGAACTCCTATTTATTCTGTAGATGCTCATGATACTTGTGGCTGAGATGACAGCTCTAGCTGCAGGTAGAGAAAAAGTTGCTGTTGACAAAATTAGTAGTGAGGAACATGGGAAAAGGAATGCCTTGACCAGGAAATCCTTGTAAGACTGCTTTTCATTTGGTAGCTTTTTAAGTTCAGGCTGCCCTTGCTCATTTGTAATTCTTGAACTTTTGAAATCTAGATCAGATATCCTGGATGGTGCAAACCTTCTTAGTTCAGAAGAATATGAGAAGGTGGCAGAAGGATTAAAAGATGTTTTATGCCAATCTTGTGACTATGCCCATGAAAGATGTGCCCGTCTTCTCCGTGAAATGCCGTCCAAGCTGAGTCATGCTGAATTCCTCAACATAGCTAATATAGTGCAGGATTTTTGCCAACAGACAGAGGAACTGACCCACCAGAAGAGCTCTGCTATGGTTCTTGCTCTCCAAACACAGGTCAGTCTTCAAGGCTTCATTTCTCCAAAGAGATCCATTTGTGACTGTATGCTTATTCATCAAATCAGTTGTTTCTAATTTCTGAGGTCTCCTGGTGTCAACTTTAATTTTGTTACTGCTTCCTGAGCCTCATTGTTGTGCCATCCCAAAAAGTACTTGTGCTTGGATAGAAAGGAGCTACCCAATATTGTAAGATGGGTATGAGAACTAAAACTACCTATTACAAATACAGTGCTTCAAATGAGTCTCTTTTGCAAGAGGAAAATATCCCTCCAGATATGATGCTCATAGAAGTGACTGTACTCTTAGCACATTTGTGAATGCACTTTATTCTTACACACCATAAATCTTTCCTGTTTTTGATTGAAAAGCAGTGGTGCTACCTCTTTTTGTTGCTTAGGGGGCAAAAGTTGCCAGCAGATTGCATGAAGAGCAAAAAGTAAACCTCACATTACTACTTGAGAGTGAGCAATGGAAACCTACTGAAGTACCTGCTGAGCTTCAGAAGCTAGTTGATGACATAGTATTTGCGGGTAAGTATCGCAAGTGTCAAAGACCTGCTGATTGTTTTCTTTTTATATGTTACATCAGAATCACTTTCTGGGATATGTGTATTTTTCCTTTCCAGGTTCATTTGAGTTGAACAAGGATTCCAGTTATGAGTCAAAGCCAAAGAAGTCACTGAGTGTGGCTGGTGAAGACTTCACTGTAGTTGGGTGAGGAATCATGGATAACTTCACCATCTAGAATAAACTGACCTGCCATTCCCCAGGATTGAGTAATGCATATTGTCTTTTCTGACAGTGTTGTGTTACTGCTGGTGAAAATCATGTCATCATACAGTGTTTATGCCAAGCACTGTCAATTCCTAACCCCAGATCTGCTTTCTCGTCTGACTGAATTGCTGCAATTTTATAATTCCAGGGTTTGTCAGCTACTACTAGGTGAGTGTTGATTTAGTTATATTGTACCCTTTCAGCCACAAAATTGTTAGATGACATTATATGTCAATAGAAATATAAAAATTAAATGTCTGTCCTGCCTCAGAATTCAGAATAGGTAAGTATTGCTTTTGCATTTGTGTATGCAGGGCTGTTTCTAGGGGCGGGCGATCGCCCGGGGCGCCAGTGGGGTAAAAGGGGGGGGGGGGCATCAGCGGGGTAAAGAGGGAGAGGGGGGGGGGGCGCCATTGGAACTGCTTGCCCTGGGTGCCAACATCCTCAGAAACAGCCCTGTGTGTATGAGCCAGGTCTGATGTCTCCTTGAGAATGTACAACTGATGAAGCAACCCAAAGAGTTTTGATGGGCAATTGGGAGTTACCTATGAGAAGCTGAAGTCTCATCAGCTGTCTGGATGATTTAGCACTACATTTGGACGAGGCTACAGTTTTATTTTACCCATTTGATGCTGTACATAGATTCTTGAGGTAATGATTGGAACTAATGCATTCACCCCAAGAAACATTGGATGGATGTAATGTGATAACTAAATACAGTTAAATTTCAATGTCAGGTTTTGTGTAAGTTACCCTTTCTGAGATCACTGCATTTTTGCCTTCATGGGCTACAATTGACTATTATCTATCACATGATAAATAAATAAAAATTTCAAGACATTTATTGTTGAGGGACCCTAGTGAGTTTTTCTTCTTAAAATATATCCTTGGAGCATCAAGAAAACTTACTTCTTAAAGGGTTAAGCAATTTTTTTTACTCTTTGTGTGAATTCACTGAACTCAGTATCCCACGAACACCTTCCACCCCAACATGCAATAATGCTTGCGATAAGTCACTAGGGATACTCCTGAGCCAATACATGGCTCCTCCTCCTACATGGGGCAACTTGGATCCTCAAAGAGCACAGAAAACAAGCCAGTCTTATCTTCTCTTTCAAATGGGCAAAATTACTTAAAAATCATATTGCTGCAGTGTTGCTTGTGTGTTAAGCTGTGTACTAGGCTTTATGAATTGTCCAACTTCATCCTATGTATGTTTCATTATAGGAGCCGAGGCACGAACAAGAGCAGGTTTAAGGAGTATCACTGCCCGTCACCTTGCCCTTGGTTGGCGCAGCCTGCAGCTCATTCAGAGTCTCATACCATATTTTCAGAAACATTTTCTTCCCCTGTTGGCTAGTGCTAACAAATCCAATCCCTTCAGTCAGAAACATCTAGATCTGGTGAGTGAGATTTCATGGGATTCAGGCATCCTATACTCTCCTGTGCAATCATATTATGACCCAATGTAGGTCAATCGTGACTTCAAAGCCCACAGTGAACAGTTATCTTCAAAGCTTGTGAGCATCCTCACATCTACTTTTGAGATTCAGCTGAAACAATGGGAACCCAAACCACCTGTGCCTTCTAACACGTTCAGGTACTTATATTAAAAAGTCTCATGAATGTTATCCAAGGTATTCTTTCATATATGGTCAGAGAATTTGAATTTGTGGTGTTCCTGATCCCTCAGATCAATATGCAAGCAGCTAGCAAAGTTTCATGAAGCAGTGGAAGATGTGTTGCCTACCTTACAAGTCAAGGAATTGTTGTTGAAAATTCATGAGGATTTCTCGCAGAAGTGTAGGTGGCATCTAAACCGCCTTGGATTGGCCAGTGATGGTGGTCCCCAACATGCGTAAGTGCCTTACTTTTTTTGAACCCACTGCTTTTAAGTGACCCCCAGAGTGTTGCCATTGTCTCTTTTTTTTCCTAGGTTGGTGACTGCAGAACTGACATTCTACATGCAGCAACTACAAGGCTTGAAATGCATGGCTAGGTGTGATTCATTCGACAAATTTCTATCAGAAGTTTTCTGCAGGTGATATTTTCTGCTAGTCTATATCCATTTCTTGGTGCAATTCTTTCATCTGGTATCTCTGCCACATGTTTCTCCTTCCTGAGAATTGGGAGCTTACCTGCTATTCCAGTGTTATATCAAAGCAATGGTGAAGAATTTATTAATTGGGTCACAGCATGTAAGTGTTTCATTTATTGGGAAAATCATCACTTGGCTGAGGAATGCAAATAAAGTAGGTGGATATCATGATGTCCCATCATCCTCCAGTGGCTTTGGCCAGTTAAGATGGACAGCCTAAGAGTAAAGAAAATTCATAGTTCTCATGTTTTAAGGGGAATTAAAGCCCTGATAATAAAGAAATATCTATAATAAATACTGACCGTAACATCCAAAGCCAAAATATCCACAGGGACATTGAGAAGAGAGCTGAGATTTGGCACTGTACGACCGAAGTCACCATGAACAAACTCTTTAATGTAGGTTCCAGCCTGAGTCCCCAGATGCAGCTTGAAGAGCTTTGAGGAAACAAGTTCTCCACTCATCCAAAACACTGTCCTTTCTCTCACAGCCAGAGGCCTCCTGGTGAAGGGGAAGAAATTCCATTTATTGTCTTGCTCTCTCTTCACCCACTTATCTGAAAGTATGAAAAATTGCACACCCAGTTCTTAGACCTACCTGTGCAAGACACGGATGGGAGTCTTTTGCTGAAGAACAAGGTCCTTAATGGATGACAATCGTTTCATGTCCCCATCTCCAATTGGGATTTCTGTTCCACACAATGCAACATATTCCTTCACCTTTTCCTCCTCTCCTTCCTTCAAAGGACTTGTATCCTCTCTGTAGTGCAACCAAAACTGGATCCTAACAAGAACTTAGAAACCATGATGAAGAAATGGGATATCAGGAGGGTTGGCAAAGGTTCTTTAATGTGAGAAACCAGATTGTTTCATTTAAGTCATATTCTCTTCTTGATTTTTTTTTCATTTTTCTTTCATTGGGCCTTATTTGGCATCTTTATTATCCATTCGGTGGGCACTGGGGCATGGTAGGCAATATTCTAATTTAAAAGAAACTTAGCCTCACCATCTCCAATGTATATGGTTCTGGTCCCTGCCAGATTCTATGGCCTTTTGACCTTTGATCCCATGCCACCCCATTCATGCAATTATAAGGCCCTGCCCCACTTTTTCCCCCCAGTCATGTTCTGATTACTCTTGCCCCCATAAAAAAAGGAAAGAATAATAATAGCAAATTAAGTGATTCCACAAGTTTGCCAGAGAAAACATAGGATTTGCCTTCTCCCTGAAGAATTATAAAACCAGAAATGAATTTTTAAAGTTTTTGAATGATAAGCAGCAAAGAAAAAATATTGTTAAATAATTTTAAAAATGCATCAACACAAAGATAAACCAGATAGTGAGGTTAGGATGTGGCTTCTTGTATACAGCAGACCTAAATAAATACATATCCAGGGAGATTCCTCTTCTCTCTGACCCTTTTTCCAGCTGAGAACTATGTAAAACAATACCTTTTCCTGGAGGTGAAGTTTCAGGAATGTGCAATCACGCTCTTTATTTTTCTCTAAAAAATATTATTGCAACTTTTGATAAGAGTGTATAGAACATGGCCTGCAGGCCAGATCCATTATGTTTTACATTCAAGTAAATGAAATGCATATAGGATTGTACCTATTGAGACCATTTTTGAATTGCATTTCTTGTTTATAAAATATTGGTGTTTTTTTTTGGTTACCTGGCCCACACTATCCTTTTTACTTCTTACTTAACCCTCATCTGGGCAAGCTTTTTTACAACCTATTCCAGGCAAGGTGAGTCTGTCAGACTCATGTAAAATAAGGCTGTTTGCTGCGGTTACAGTATGTATTCTTATAAATAACAGTACTGTAACTAAAATAATACAGACAATTTATTCAATGGTCCTGATAGTTTAAAAAAATAATGACAGTAATAGACCGAAATATGTCGTAGTGAGTCCAGCGGACTCACTTTGCCTGGATTAGGGTTAATGGTGCACACTGGTCTGGAACTTTGGACACCCCTGCACTAAAAGCAAGTAAAATTGTAACCTTACATATTGGTCTGCCAGAAAATGATAGGGCCCTGCATGGCAAGATATAATCTTGGCACCAAGGAAATAACTACCAATTTTTTTGCTGAAAACTAAAATGCCAACAGTCAAGGTCCATTCCTGCAAAATAATGATTGACAAGCTGTGACATCACCATGGCCTCAGAAACTATACTAGCAGGTACATAAGGCCTGGCCAAGATCTGGAACATCTGCTGGTAACATGATGGCAGCTTGATGCACTCTTAACAGAGTATCATTTGGAAGGATATCAATTTGTAAGTCTAGCTGAGCTATTAAAATGCCTCTAAACTTGCAATGAAAAAGTAGTGCAAAATGCCAAAGCATGATGGCAGTATTTTGGGCACACAGGTAACCTTGCAGGTTCAGGCTGTAATTATGCAAAGGGGCACTCAGCACCATTTACAGGCAATGCAATGACCATGTTCATGGGTGGGCTGAAATAGGACATATAAGACCTAAATTTTCATAATTCGAGGAATCTTACATTCCATATTTATATGTGTTTTATCACTTCAAAACCCCCACACATAACACAATTTGAAAAAGGAACAGCATTTGGGAACCTAAACAAGGAAAAGTTGATTTAAATAAAACAATTTTAGAAAGATCAACCTCGGATATTATTGATAGTTCTACAATGACAAAAATCTCTGTACCTGGAAACTACCTGCAGGTGTTTCACAGCGATCAAACTTGTGCTTGAATTGATCTGATTCTGAAGATGCTGCAAAGGGTTTTTGAGCAATTGTCTAGGATTCATCACTTCCAACACAAAAGGTCTCCCATTTCCAAGGCATCTGACGTCTACATCCTCTCGCCCAGCTGCTGAAAACTTCACCTCTGAATTTATTATTCATGCAATTACAAATACTGGACATTAAGTACATGAACAGACTGAGAAAGAGAAATTCCACCAGATGCAGGGAGAATTTTCAGTAGAGGATCAGAGATCAGCTGTTGAACAGAACTCTCAACTTTAAGTTGACCATCTATCATCCATGGTGTTTGAGGAAGGTGGCGACTCAACTTCAAATACCTCCCTGTTGGATGTACAGTTTCAGAAGTTTTACCTGTATATTCTATACTATGGAAATAAAGCTCTTAAAATTCAGAGCTTATAGCAACATAGAGAAGATACAAACCAGCAATGAAGAGGGAGGCACTTGAAATTGTGATTGCTGTCAGTGAGAGAGGTTCTGTAGGGATGTCTGGTGGCACCCGTAAACACTTCTTCAGCAAATCTTCACTACTGGTATCTAGGACTTCTTGCAAAGCTGCAGATGAGAAAATGACTCTATGGTATTTTCTTTTCTTCTCCCTCCTGGCTGCCACCAACTCAGGCTTCAGTTTCTCTCTGTGTAGCATATAAACCACCTTGAAAAAATGAAATTCTGAAAGAAGAATAAATACAAGGAATTTGTACAGCAATAACTCACATAATAAGTAATTCCTTTTCCTCTGATTCATGAGAGAAGTTGAGGTTGATTTGAAGTCCTGAATTTTCCCGGTCCAATGTTGCATTCAAGAGTTTTGCCAATTGTGGAGCACATTTCCACTTCCAAATAGTTTTCAATGTTGGCATCTTCTTCTCGCATTCATTGTTCCATTTTGGATGCTTTGCCTGTAAGTGGCATAACACTTGAAGAGGGGACTGCATTTACCCAAAGCTGTCTTGCTGGAGATATCACCAATGAATTGAGCATGGACTTTTTTAAATTTAATTCATTGGTGTTAATAGAGGAGGAAATTCTGAATTTGCTGGTAAAAAAAACCCACAAAAAAGTGTTTTTCACGCTTTTCAATTGTACATACAACCCATTGCATTCACAAGCAAGGTGCACTCACTCATGATCCAAAGTTCAGCTACATTTAGTTACTCAGAAATAGTCCTTACACCCCGTCATACCAGTCATGGACATCTTCCTCTCCAGTTTTGCACTTTTTGAGGACCACAAACCCCAAAGTTTCAACCATTGTAAAAAAAACTTGAAATTTCACATGGAGGAAAATTTCCAAAATAATTATGGACAGAAAATATCTAATTAGCTGCCTGAAAAAAAAAACCATTTTAATTCCCCTTTTCAAGTGAAAATCAGATGAAAACAAACACGGCTCCTCAGTCCCAACAAAAATTAGAATGCAGCTGAAAACAATATTGCACTTAACCCTTTGGGGTCTAAGTATTCTGAATGTGTCAGCACTGTCATCCAAGTTTTTTATATCCTTCATCATGAGGTCAACATGAGATAAATCAGGCATGGACCCCAAAAGGTTAATTATCTGTTACAGATTAGTTACAAGCTCATCCAATTCTAGACCTTCATGGTCATCTACTGCTTGGCCTTTGGGAACATTCACAATATATTTCTGAACTCACCTTGAGGTATAGTAGTATTCCCTTTTCTCTTACTACTAAGCACAGGGGTAACTTCAGCATGCAGTTGAAAGTCTTGGATTCATAACCACCAGCTGTCACCTCTTCCTTTATCTAAGGATGATCACTTGTATTTGCACAACTTCTGGCAATACTTACATATGCTATTTGAGGGGTAACATTCATGTAGGTCGACCTTACCTTTAAAATGATGTGTTGGCAAGTAGGAGATTTCATAAAGTCCAGACAAGATGTGCATGGGTTAGCTTTCATCTTCTTTTCCGATTCTTGGATCACCTGATTTGATGTAAAACATCATTGGACTTAGATGATGAAATTATAATAGGCTAGGAAATTTACTGCTTCCTTAGTCCATGAATATATGCCTTACCTCATCTGTCTCCTCGTATCTGGTACCCTGAGTGATTCCAGAAAATCTCAAGCAACAGAATTTGCAGCATCCAATTTCTTCAAGGGTTTTTGAAATATCACTTTCCATCTTTGAGGCAATATTCCTCCTTTTTTCCAAGTGAATATATACCACAAGCAACACTGGAGTATGTATGCATAAATACAAATCAGCACACTTTCAGGAAGGCCATAAAAAAAAGTGCATTTTTCACCAGCAAAAATTATTGTTAACCTTTGCTTTTTAAAGATGAATTAAACCAAAAGTGGATTTGAGATTATTTTACTAAGACAAAATCAATCATTTCAGTTCCTATGATGCATATGGACATCTTAGGCTACTCCCCTTGAAATATGAAAGACAACTTTTGCTAATATCTTCAGCTGTTTTGACCCTTTTTTGGAGTTTCCAAGCCACTTTGATAATACATGTTTGTCAGTTGTGGAAAGATCATGAATGCAATCCATTTCTCGCTTATGCAAGAAAGCAGAATCTCAGTGGGTGGGTAGGAGAAATAATTTTAATGAAGGTCATTGGAACAGGGTTAAGAAAGTCTGTCAAGGTTTAAGTTGATCCTTCTTAGTATGTAGGATCAAGTAAAACGTGAAGATTTTTTTCCAAACATCAATCAGGCCAGTAGCAATCAACAAGCTTGTCACCACCAAGCACACAACACTGAAAAGTTTATACTCATAGCTCAGAATGCTTGAAAGTGCTTTCTCATCACCTTCAGAACATACAGTATTCAGAATGTGCTGAGTGACATAATTAGAGAATGAGTAGGAGGAGGAATGAATTGTTAGCTCCTCTGTGGTCTCTGTAAAGCCCTGGGGAGTAATGCTTGTATACAACATAAATTAGAATGCTTTTGGAATGCAACCCTAATGGATTCAATTTCAATTACAGTTGAAAACTCCTCACCATAAGTTAATCATTCATGTCTGAAGTACCAGAACTTCCATACACATTGCCAAGGTGACTGATGTTCTCCACTACTTCTCCTCAATGACATACCCTAGTAGTGCACAATATTGGGACCATAATGACCTAACACTGGAATCTTGGCTCAACATGAGGCAAATATATGTACTACTGGACTATACCTCCAACCTATCACATTATAAAATTATGATATAGTAGGCTTTATAAAAACAATAGATTACTCCATTCTGCACCTGGTCCTGCAATTAACATGGTGCCGGTCAGTAGGAAAAGGATTTCCTCTTTTTCCTTGCTGCATTTAAACCCTAGTGGCAGAAATGGCAAATAACCAGCATTCCTTCATGTACTTTGCAAAAATGTGTAAGACTGAATTATCTTGAAGAAGCTCAACAGAGATTGAAGAAGTGAATTATTTCCATCTATGGAATGCTGAAGGTTATTTCTCTGCAGTCAAGCTAAGCAAAAAATGAGCTTGCATCTTTTTGGGCCATTTACACAGGCACATGTTCAAGAAGTTTGACAAGTGAATAGATCTAGAAATATGAAAACCTTGCATATCTAATTTGATACTTTTGCATAGTTGTCTTAGTATTGCCAATAATTTGGTATTGTACATCAAGGAAGCCCATGCAGTTAACATTCATCATCCTTCAAGCTGACTTTTACCCTGCAATAGTTGCATGGGGTATTTTATTTCTAACCCTGCCATTACAAGCATATGAGCATGTCTTGTTTAGCTTGAGCTTGACCACTTCAGTACCTTTCAGTAATTTTTCCAACTCCCAAGTGCAGCAGTTCCTGATCACCCTGAGCAATCAGTTGTGCTTTTGTGTGCTCCTCAAAAATGCCTTAGGTATTCGATCACCCCTCATGACTACTGAAGGGTTAATTCTTGAAAGACTTGCAGTATTTTGCCAAGCTTGATATTTCCCCTGCAAAGATTGATGGCACTTTGCAACACTCACCCTCAAGAGCTCCCAATTGTAATGGGGATACACATAACAGTTCTCTGTTATATGCGAGGAACCAGAACTTGACAAATTAAAAAATACTTCTCTATGATCTTTGGAAGCCAACTAATTGCTTCGAAGTGTAGGGTGCTCTAATCGCAAAAAAGATCACACCTGAAGAAACTTTGGAGGATTCCAGGTCAGGAAATAATAACAAATCCATAGATCTTCTCCATAAGTTTTCTTTCAAGAGCAGTATACAACTTTGATTCAAGACCGCTCAGAAAATAAATTACAGATATAACAGAATAAAATACTTCAAACAGCAGAGTAAACAAAAACATAATTCGTAATAAATTTTTGAGTTTCACTTATGAGCTATTCACGGGTAAGCATAATGAGACATAGGAGTGAGTTCCATATTTCTCTGATAAATGGAGATGTAAAAATTCACAAGTTCCTGCCTTCTGATCTGCTCAGATTAACATTAGACTAGAAGCCATGGAGAGGCAGAAAAATGTTATCCAAGGGCAATTAATGAGGATGGGAGTAACTGTTTGAAATTAAAATTAATGAATATCTCTAGCACTGAATATAATCCAGTGACATGCAGAAAGTGCAATACAAAGTCAACTGAAGCTGTGATTGATGCAAGGCCTATGGTGAGGTACAGTACAGACCATGACTGCCTCATTAAATGAATCTGTAGGAAATCTGTGAATTGAGTGCATTCACTCAAGAGCTTCAGAGCCTACATCTCCATCATAAGCTACAAAACATGCAATGATGCTGGAAAATATGATTCAGCAGATAAGCCGATCATAACAACATGCTGGTAAAAAAAACATTGACATAAAAAATGTAGAAGGCACACCATAGGTGGGTGGGTGAAGCAAGCATGGATCATTAGGTTCATTTTCTATGCATTGAAAAAAGCAAAAAAAAAAAAATTTCATATGACTCTGGACTGTCTCGCAAAACGTGTTTGCCAATCATGAGTTGTTGGATATCTCCCAGACTCCAGCACGACACAATCACAGATCCACTGGTATACTTGGTTTCTCGGGCATGTTTGAACTTCGTGGGAATTCCCAACTTTCTTTCACAAATGATAATGTACAAAGGCATTGGAAAAATAAATGACTCAGGAGTTTTAGAATAGATGAATTACTTACATGAAGCATTCATTTTGTGCTGCGTATGTGCAGCAATAATAATGGAACTTCAGTTTTGATGGTTGATGTTATATCTTCACCATTAGGTTTATCATAAAATTGGCAAGCTTCCAACTCCATGGAAAAATTGTATGTTTGCCCTGCTGCCAAACACATGAAACAATACCAGACATGAGTAGCATTTGCACAGATTTTGACCATATGGTTTCATGCAGCAATTTTAACTGACTAAAACCACTGCACTTAGACCCCTCAAAACTGGTCAAAATTGTTTCTTGCTAGTTTCAAGTACTGGGTGAAATGAAACTCTGTTTACCATTTTAAGAAAATCGAAATGGCTTCATCATTTAAACATTGTGGATGTAAAAGAGAATTTAAGATCAGATCATTGCAGAGATAGTAAAAAAAAAGTATTAAAGCCAGTATTGCTCAAACTCTGCTTTCACATTATTCAGGTGACAGGCATATTTTCACTGTCAGGAATAGTTTTGAGAAACCTCCTCAAATAGCCTTTAAAGGTTTTTCAGAGTTGTCTGATTTGCACAAATTTTCCAAGTTTTTATGTGACTTTAGCAGTTCATTTCTTTTTTTTTTTCCAAGGGCCCTGTCAAGTCAGCTTTGACTGGCTTCTTTGCATTCCTGAATGTAAGTGCTGTGGGACTAGCATGGAACAAATCAGTACCACAGACCACATGGAGCAACATCAAGAAGACAATGTATAGAAAGACATGAGAAAGTGATGTCGATAATATAATAAAGCATCAAAATCAAAACGCTGCTTTTGATGGTGGGATGAGATGCTCAGGAAGTTCTGCTGGTAAATCATGTCCATCAAGTTTGATGTTGATCAAGTGCATTGCAAGGGCAAATTCATCTGCATCCAGCATTCCATCTCGATCCACATCTGCCAACTTCCAGATTTTTCCCAGCACTGTATTGGGCAGCTTAGACTTGACCATTTCTTGCTTGGCAGCTATGAGGAAGATTCAAAGAACTTGGTCATCAAGTAAAGTCTCAGTGTGGTTTACCTCTAGTGAGGATTATGAACTCTCAACTGACCATTTCCAGTGATTTTCCCGTCGATGGGATTGAGTGTATCAAACATGGCGTCGTACTTGTAACGGTCTTTGGCCACAATCCATTCCTTCTCCCCTGCACCAGCATCAACTCCTTCACCCCTCTTAAATCCAAATGGGCTCCTCTTGTCCACAATCCCATCAAATGCACCACCTGCATCAAACATCAAGAGTTGGCAAAGGGTTAGGCATTTTTAATCATATAAGCAGAAACCACTTCAGAATGCCTGGAATCATACATGAAAAAACTGGTTCTACTTTCATCTTATCAATTATTGGATGCTTCTTCATTTTATGAAAAAGCATGACTAAGGAAGAAAAAAAAAAGGCACTAATGTATCCAAGTAGGCTAACATCCAGACTGAATGTAGTTACCTCGGACAAGATGATCTTTGTTGACCATTGCTTCCTCAGTGGGTATCATCTGCATGAGACGAGCAATTTCTTCAGCCAGCATCTTATCCACCGACTCTATCAGTCGAATTTTCAATGAGTGGAACTTGTTCCAGTCATATCTACCCAATACTTCCTGAAAAAGAGGAAATGGGTAGAGAAACTACTAAAGGGCCTCAGCAGCAGCAAATCTATACCTGATGGTATCTCTCCACATGTCTTTAAACAATGTCAAGTCCATAACTCCCTTCAGTCAATAGGACCTTAGATACTGGGTCACATGACTAGAAACTATCTAGCATAACATCTGCTGCAAGCTCCTCAAACATTTAGTCCTTTCAGCCATCAGCAATCACCTTGCTCACTATTGGCTCCTACACAGCAAACAGCATGGCTTTTTTAAGGGCTATTCATGAATGATTCAGCTTTGTGGGGCTTTGTATGAATGGGCAAAAGGTCATAGGTCACCAGGAAGACACCACACCCCTTGGTCTTGGACATCTCACTCATAGTAAAGGCTAGTAGCAACTAGGAAGCAATCAAAATGAGCCCCTCACAGATCTTATCTTTAGAAGTGTCATTTTGAACACATTTAAATAGCAGAATTCTTACTTACTGGAGCTATTAGAAGTACCAGATCCTCTCATTGAGGGTAAGGGAAGGGAAGGATTCAACATGTGCTAATATGTTGAAACAATTGATATACCAGTAAATAACTATGGACATGTGTAATCTCAGGCCTATTCAGTTGAAGGCCTTACCCTCATATGTTCAATGTCAGGGAAGTCTCCAAGTGATATCTGATGCTCCAACTGCAATTTTTCATAGACCTTGTCCAAGTTTTTGACGAGTTCCTTCTTTTTTCCCTCCTTCCCAAACATGGATGGCATCTGATCATGTAGTGCACTCACAATGTAGGCATGCACCTAGAAAGACAGCAGCAATAAATATCTCTAACCATACTTGAAGTCCCTCAGGCACCACAACACCCTCATGACTCACTTTAGCCAGTCTTGCCCTTTTGATGAGGTCATTAAGTTTCCGAAGAGCAGAATTCCGGGGTAAGGATTGCAAGTCTGCAAACAAATCTTGTTCTTCTGCCTCAAAGAGTCTGGGAGATAAAAAGTCAGGTCAAAAATGGTACTTGAAGATATACTGTAGATAGATGCATTCATTTAGACCTAATTAACAGCTTTCTTGAATTTCCTTACATTTTCAATCAGGGTAAATTTCTGCTGAACAAAGGACCTGTTCTATATTCTTGTAAAAAATGACCCCAAAAACACATGCTGGATGAGCTTAAGCATGTCAGCAGCATGACTGTTACTTCAGAACAAGATGGTGGTGAAGGCATTCCCTAAGTACTACATCTCAAAGGTGCTGGATGGGTCAGAAGACAGCATTTGAAAATTGAAAGCAATATTGAGAGCAATGACATTTCTCTTTTCTCCTACGACAAAACACTTAAAACAGTGCATACAGGCTTCTTTCACTTAGACTTCTATTAATATTTTTTATTTTAAGCAGTTCTAAAAATCAGGGTCAACTCAAACATGGGGGCAATCTATAAGGTAATTATGGTAGCATATGCTATCATTAAAAAATAAGATCCTTTAGAGAAAAGGAGGACAGAGAAAGATTATCATACTTTCTGTTTGAGTCATAACGAAGTGGCTGATCCCAGAAAGATCCAATGTACACCCGAGGAACTTCAGGAGTTTTCAAGACTTTCCCAAGAGACCACATGAGTGCACCATACACTCGCATCAGCTGTTGATGATCAATCATATCAGCCTTGTTTAGGACAATTCGTATCTTCTCATCATACCCTCGTATTGATTCAAGGGCACGCCTGAACTCATCGGATATGTCCAGTTTATGTGCATCAAACAGAAGAATGATCCTGTCTACTCGCTCAGCAAACCACTCCAAAACCCCAGCAAAGTCATAACCACGGTCAACACGTTGCTTCTCTCCCGAAAGAATACCAGGAGTGTCAACTATAGATATGCCTTTCAGGACAGCTGATTCAACTAAGGAACACTGGAAGCGGTTCAAGAAAGCATTCCCAAACTTGGACAATGGGCGGAATTGTCTCTTGGGGTCCACCACCAGTGCATTCCCAGGAATGGTTCCATCTTGATCTCCAACCATGACAGCGATGAAGCCATCAGTTGTGGGCTCAGGACCAATACGGATGCCTGGAAAATCCCTTTCCAAGAGATACCTGATGAAGGTTGTCTTTCCAGTGGAATATTGTCCAACTAAAAGGATCATTGGCTTAGCATCGAAGTCTGGATCATCCAGTCTTGGGGAATGGAAGTCATGGAAATTGTAATGCTCTTCCAGGGGCAATATCTTGGCTTTATATACACGTTTGAGCCCTTCCAAGACATTTTCATACACCTCAGGCTCTTTCTTACGGCTGGTGTCATTGTTGAGCCAACGTAACATCTTGCTGAATCTGAAACTAAGTCTTGGAAGAATGGAGTATCCACTGGATGACTTTGGCCTGAAATGTCAGGAAACTGTCACAATCTTCTCTGCTTTATCACATCAAATTAATACAATAATGATTCCAAAACTGAACTCAGAGGAATTTTCTGTTCAAATATTGTTCCTGAAAACTAAAAAAAAATGTTAATACATTGTGATTGTGCCAATAAATTTCATTCCTAGATAGACTTATACAAGCCAATATCCCAAGCAAGTAAAAGTGAAGATTTGAACATGAAGAAGTGTAAATGGCATCCACATGCCCCAAAAGAAAATTCTCATTTCCGAACCAGAATAACTTATGATGTAAACTATTTTATTTTGGTGGGTAAATTATTAAACATTCATCTAGGCCTATCTGTCTTATTAAAAAATATGTTAATAAATTCAATACTAGTACAAGCCTGACACATTTAACACTTTCAAACCCATGACTGGAGATTTCTGATGTGAAATAGCTTTTGCAGCAGCCTGAAAACAGGAATCTCCAATATAGCATATATCATCATTCAATATTTTTTCAACTGGATTTCTGAACACTTTTCCTATGATCATGTTCTCCATGTGTTCTACATACTTTGGAGTGCATTCTAGTTTAAAAAGTTAATATTAATTTTCAATAAAATGGCTGAGTTGTAGGGGTTGCATAAGTAAGACTTATACTGGGACAGAATGCATTAATATTGATGACACAAAGGTTCCTGGAGTTATTCATTTGCAAATCTCTACATGCAGTGGCTAGCCTTTCAAAACTTGGAGGCTTTTTATTCTGTATACAGTGTCAAACCATGATTGCCTCTTGTAGACAAACCCAATTAATGCCAGGTGTCTTGATATTACCAAAATGAAGCACACTCCAAAACAATTTTTTTTTCTCTTTTAGATAAAATGGGTAATTTGATATGGAAGAGTAAGACACTGATATTAAAGCATCATGCAATGGCAGCAACATTCCACACTGCTTGAGACACAGGAGCCATTCTCCTTACCAGCTCTTGAATAGCTGCCCATCTTCAACCTAATTGATGAGCTAAAGGAAAAGTGGTCTATCTGCAAAAATATGGTTATGAATTGTATAGGTGGCTCAGGGCATATATGCACAATTCTTCTTTCATTAAAGATGGCAGTTTTGGGGATTTCTGAAAGGCAAAAAACTGATCCATCGACCCAAACCACTTTTCCTAACAATTAAGGTAATCACTAGAATATTCACTCTCTCCATGTGGAGCTTGAGAAAATAATTTTTTTGCTGATAGGCCACTTTTCCTCTCAGCCCTTTAATTGCGCCGATGCTGGGGCCCATGATTCTTATTTATTCTAAGTATTAAATAAGAATACTTGATGCATAAATAATTAAAATCCAGTTGGGAAGTTCTCTATTGTTACAACTGTTTCCACCCTGTACACACCTTGAGGAAAATTCAATCTGCATCAGCTCAAATCTGCTTTCTTCATAGTGAACAAAAAGAATACAAAGAATAAGCATCACCATCTCAGGAGAATTAATTTGAAATTTCCTCTTCCTGAAAATAAAGCAGGGAACACAGCATCCTATTAGTATACAAAACTTCCCAGGACTAGGAGGTCTGCAAGTCAAAATGAGCACTTATTTCATGATTCTATGTGTCCCTTAAAATACATTTTTTCTCATTTATCACATTCACCATGCAAATTGGCAGTATCTATTGGCCAAGCTGGCTTAGCCCTGACTAAGAGATGAGCTGGAAGTCACCCTTCATACAGTCATCTCAGTTGATAACACCTATTCTATAGAAGAGAGCTTAGCCTCCAAGCTGTGGTGGTGTTGGCTTTCTGAAATGAAAAGGACATCTAAGGTTAGGCCATAAATCATAAGGGCTGTTGCATACTCCAGAATGATGGCTTTAATCATGTTATAAGTGCCATGTCTATTGTTTTCAGCAATTTTAACCTGAGAGCACCTAGCAAGATTCAGGGTTTAATGGAAGTTTCAATTTAAGACTTAATCAGGGCTGGGAGGGCTCACTTGAAGCCCAAGCAGTATGCATAGAATAGAGTCCTTAATGGGTGACAGGCACTTGTGAGGTTTGCCTGGCTTTTTAGATCACATAATGGATGACATGAACCAACTCTACTTGTCAACTAAGTGGATTTCAAAGGAAGTGCCCCCATGGAAAGGAAAAATTTATCCATTTCCCAATAAGAAACATCTTAATTTAGTTAAAGTGCAAGTCATCTATTTCTTACCATGACATAAAGTTAGAAGTTTTTAAATGACAATGATATCCATTAATAATGAAGAACTGTCTAGCTTCATTTCACACTTAAACACACTTTTTTAAATCTTGAATCCTGGCACCTAGCTTCAGCTCGGTGGGAACATGTTCAGGTGGTTGTCAGTGAGTCCCACAGACTTAGATGTTTCACAAATATGAGTCAGGGACTCGCTATAGTGAGTTAACAAGAACCCTGAGCTTCATGGTGATAGACCAAAAAATATTGTTCCAAATCTTTCTACAAGGCATGGGAAGCATCTTCATTTACCTCAAAAGACAAGCCTGCATATGGTGGGCCGCTGAAAGCTTTATCACATTGGGAGTGATATTAGACGTCATGATTCCAGCCCAGCCAATTGACTGCCTATTCCCCCAACTTGGTCCTACCCCTGAGCTTACACAAAATGACAATACTGGGATTAGTAAGCTTGGGGCACCTGTAGCCAATGGCTGTAGACTAGGGTACGTATAGGCTTAGTCCTATGGGCTATGAGGTACTAACAAGTTTGATCTAATTTAGGAGCTGTCATTTTCTACCCATTGCAGGATAAAATATGATAAACCGAATGGTGAATTAGACATCTAAAGGCTAACACTTTGGGAGCACAGCCCACAAGAAACAGGCCTAGTTGGACCCCGGCTCAGGGGCCCACATAAATTCGGCTGATGTTCCGAACTCCTCACTTCCTCCAGCCTAGCTTGGCCAAGTACATTGAAGTGAGTGACTCATTTCACTGATTCCGAGTCAAATTCCGATCTAAATGGGCACTTCCGAGTTCTGAACGTATCTTCAGATAACTGAGCAATGCTAGAGGAATTCTGAATGGAATGTGCAGTACGTGCAGTCTAGATTCCGTAAGCAAGAGATGGTATGATGACGCCATTGCTGACACAGCCTGATTCACGGTTGCCCTGTGCTATGCATCCTCTCTCTAAACTTTTCCCAATCTCCCAATCACTGCCTCTTTTTTTATATCCTGTTTATTTACAAAAAGGTATGGCTGGCGAGTATAGTTTATTTAGTAAAAAGGAAATGATTATTTTTCAAGCGCAGTTTTTCTTCTCGATGCCGGTTGTATTTCAACAGCTGCACGGAACTGAACTTGAGTTCTGTCACAGCCACTTAACGATTATGAAACTTGATCGGGGAGGATATTCAGGGCCCAATATCGTACTTGTGATAAGGAGTTCCTTCACGCGAGTGCCGGGGAAGGAGTCTGCGTTAAAATGAGCATTTCCTGAGTGTGATTGTTCGCGTAACTGAAGTTCTATGCCCAGGCTCCTGTTCACTTTGATTGAAGGTGCTCCACGAAATAGGTGCTCTTCACTTGCACTCGATAGCTGCATCCATGGATTCAGCGACAGAGCATGGCAACTATCACGTTTTCACTTTACTGGGACGCAAGAAATAAGCTTCTTGGTTCCCGTCGATAATTTGGGCATCCGTACAGTCATCTGCACGTGATCTGTCCGGAGGATCAGAATCTGGAAATACAATAGGACCTAAATTTACGAAATAGTCAATGCATGATGTAACAAGGTTCCTGACCCTCAAGAAATGAAAAAATAAACATAATTTTCTGATTCTGATTAACTGTACAGCTAATGTGGTTTTCATGAAGGTATAAGGAGACTGCGTTTAACTGCTGATTTGCTATTATGACCCACCACAGGACACAGTTCGGACAGATCAATTGTAGAGTGCTCCTGGAAACTGTCTTCATAAACACTCAATCATATACCTAAGTAAACATAAAAATTGGAATGCCATGACTGTGTTTCAGACGTTCCACGTCCGGTGACACTCTCCAGCGATGAGTCATTGAATACCATGGAAATAAAGGTTCAGTTTTACGATTTCCAAGAAGCCATATTACGATGGAATAAACTTTAATCAAACGGAACTATTTATTTATCAGTAGTCTGGGATCATAAAATTCCCATTGTCCTTTCCTTCACCGCAGAAGCGAATTTGGTAAAGTCATGCGAGGTTGCAATGCCCTGGCTCCGAATCCTCGGATATCATCAGCGAGTCGTTTGAAAGAACATCTCGCACGGACCACTTTCACTTGAAAAACTTCACGTGCACCTCGTCTATTTACTGAATGCATTGTGACGTGTCTCCGGGGAGAGCATTCCGACCAAACTGAGGCTTGCTTGAGGTGCGGGATTACAAGAGGATTCCAGGTTACTAGGATGTAATGAGAGAACAGCGGCGAGAGGCTTACATGGGAGAAGGGTTGAGGTGGTCTTACACGGGGCAACGTCTGGAAAGCAAGTCTCGAAAACAACCACGAAGGCAAGACTTGCCTGGTGTAAAGCAGGTTTCAATATTGTTTGCGATGTTGCTTTGAATGTGTAACGGAGTTCGTCGGATTCAACTTTCGTTCAATGTTGCGGGCTATGCTGCCTTGTTTGAAGGACGCTTCAAATTTTAAAAGAAATATTGAATGAAAAATGATTAATGAGAAGCTTGGGATCTTTCAGGTCATGCTGGCATGGCGATAGTCGGGTTTTTCATTTGACTAGAGTTGTAAGCAATACTTCCCGCTGAGAGATAGTTGTTGATTATAACAATTTGCTTTGAATTATTTTCTTGTGTAAAATCACCTTCAGAATAGGCCTGTGAGGAGGGGGGGGGGCACGAGTATCGTTTATCTTCCAATGGCGTCTTTTTTTATTGAAGAACAAATTTATTGGCAC